TTGTACCCAATAGGTAATCTCTGAATTCTTACTTTCCTCCCCACCCTCCTGCTTATTGGTGTCCCTAGTGCCTACTATTTCTATCTTTGTGGCCATTTAGCTACTGCTTATAAGGGAGAAAATGCAGGGTTTGGTTTTCTGTTTCTGAGTCAGCCCACTTAAGATAATGATCTATATAGCTCCATCCATGTTATTGCAAAGGACATGATTTCATTTTTTTATGGCTGCATAGTAGGCTATGGTGTATATATTTCCCACATAGTATTCTGTGGGAGAGATAGGTAGATAGATAGATAGATAGATAGATAGATAGATAGATAGATAGATAGATAGATAGACAGATCCCACATTTTCTTTATCCAGTCAATTGTTGGTGGCACTTAGGTTGGTTCTATGATTTTTCTATTGTGAATAGTGCTGCAATGAATATACAGATACAGGTATCTTGATTTATTTTCCTTTGGGTAGATCCCTTGTAGTGGGATTACTGGGTTAAACAGTAAATCAGTTTTGGTTCTTTAAATCTCCATACCGTTTTCCATAGAGGTTGAACTAGTTTACAATCCCAACAACAGTGGATGAGTGTTCCCTTTTCTTTGCAACTGTGCCAATATCTGTTGTTATTCGATTGTCTAATAAAACCCATCCTGACTGGTGTGAAGTAATATCTCATTGTGGCTTTAATTTGTATTTCTCTGATCATTAGTGATGTTGAACATTATTTTCATATGTTTGCTAGCCACTTGTGTATCTTTTAAGAAGTGTCTATTCATAGTCTTTGCCTACTTTTTGATGGGGTTATTTGTTCTTTTCATGTTGAGTTGGAACTCCTTGCATATTCTGGATACTAGTCGTTTGTCTGAGGCGTAATTTCCAAATAGTTTCTCTCATTCAGTTGGTTTTCTGTTCACTCTGTTGATTATTTCTTTTGCTGTGCAGAAGCTTTCTAGTTTAATTAAGTTCCATTTGTCTACTTTTGTTTCTGTCGCAATTGCTTTTGTGGTCTTCATCATAAATTAGTTGCCTAGGCCAAAAGAGTGTTTCCTAGGTTTTCTTCTAGACTTTTTATAGTTTTAAGTCTTATGTTTAAGTCTTCAATCCATCTGGAGTTAATTTTTATATATGGTCCAGTTTAATTCTTCTGCATATGGTTAGTCAATTTTTGTTCTACACCATTTATTGAATAGGGTGTCCTTCTCCATTGTTTATTTTTGTTAACTCTGCCAAGCATCAGTTGGTTCTTGGTATGTGGTTTCATTTCTGGGTTCTCTATTTTGTTCTTATAAATATTTAATTTTATAAAACTATAAACCTTGAGGATGCATATTATTTTGCCAGTTTAGAAAGAATAAAGGACTCAGAGAGGTTCTGAAACATGGCTAGGATCACAAAATAACTAACAAATAAAAAATTTCTTCCTATGTTTGTGAGTCTAGAAGTGCGTATTTTTGTGTCTTGATATCCCTGTACTCTGGGACCTTCAGCAAGTGTGACTTGACCATTTCCATTTCATACAAAGTTTGGAAATAAAATATCTATTGGTTGGAATGTATACAGATGCTCTGGGGAGCAAAGCCTAAAACTCAGCAAATCTATACTTTTCCAGGAAATAAATAAAAACAGAACTATAGGCCATAACCCAGAAATACTTAGAAACCCAATAGTCTTCTTTTTAGATTTTTTTTTATTTTAAAGATATGGAGTACAATTCAGGATTAGGTATACAAATGGTCAACATGCAGGTAAAGTTTGGGCCTCCCTTTGGTCCTCACTTTACCTGGTTTGAGATCAGGTACCCTTATTGATGACGTGTCCTTGCCCACCCACCCCAGCAGTATCCCACTACTGCCAATCCCTTTCTTATAGTATTATGGTCAACAGAAATCCAACAGTTCTCAAAGCATAAAAGGAAGTTGCATTTGAGGGCTCAAAAATGAACATAGTCTATAATCTGATACATTAATTTATTATGTACTAAAACAATACTACATGTCAGATCATGTGGTAGATACTAAAGACCCTAACATAAGTAAGATATGTTCCCTGCCACTGAGGAGCTCATTGTCTGTTGAGTGAGACAATCAAGACCACAATGACAATGTAGTGTTGAACTAGTCACTATACTATTGTCTCTCAGCACTGAACCAAGTTTTCTATAAACCACTTTATGATAGGACTCAGAAACCTAAATTTTCTTTTGCTAATTGGTATCCTCTTAGATCCTTCAATTATGGGGAGGTATAGAAAGACTATAAGAAAAGAAAAAAGGTGAAGGAAGTTGCTTCTTCCAGGTTGCTTGCTGTTCCCAATAACACTGTTCCAACATCCAAGCAACAGTAGTTGGTCCCAGTTTTCTATTTCTTTCACACTCTAGAGCCAGTCTCATCACACCACTTCAGATATATGAGCACCAGTCAGCTGGCAACTGTTCCATAAAAGTCTAAACCTCAGTTCTGTGTGTGAGATGCTTTTTTTAAGCTTCTGGGGTATCAGAAGCAGCAGGGCAGCACCCTCTTCACAGATGTCTAGGTTCTAGGTCTGCAGGCACCTCCTTTTAGCATCTAGCGTCTGATCATTCCAATCTGATTTTTGTGTTTCCTTCAGCCATGATCTCCGTGTTACTTCCATGTTAATTTTTTGTTTATGCAGTTCATGAACATTTAGTTCACTAATTCCCTATATTAAATTTTTTGTTAAAATAGTGTGTTTTCTTTGTTAAAATAGTGTGACATGTGCACAATATGGTCCAGAAACTCAGAGGTTTACAGGCTGAAACAATTAGATAAAGTACAGTTGAGGCCTGACCTGAGTCCTAAAAAGTTAAGTCAGCCAAATAAAGAAGTTAGGAAAGGGAGGGTGTTCCAAGCAGAAAGAGCAGCAAATGCAAAGTTATGTAGATAACAGGAAGCATAATATAATAAGGGGAATCCAGTAACTCTAGATGATTAGAACTATAGGATCTGATGAAACAGAAAAGGCTGGCATGATGGGAATAAGGAAGAAGAGCCAGAAAAACTTGTTGGTTAATTAGAGTTAGAAGAACAAGTTTGGCAATAAGGTTTAAAAAAGGTAGTGAATGTTTTCTCGTCAGTCCATTAAAAGAAGAAAGGGAACACTAGGAACTAGCATAATTAGAGCCCATATATTCTTTTACTATTTCTTAGCTATGAGATTTTAATCACTGAACTTCCCTAAGAGTCAGATTGTTTCAAGCAAATGGGGATAACAATATAATAGAACTGTATATAACCATAAACACAGCCTCCATTTATTGAGCCCTTTTTGTAATAATAATCATAACAACAAAAGAGCTAACATTGAGTGATTGATGTAAAGTTCTGAAATAGCTGTTTTATACATATTTTTCATTTTATTGGCAATATTTTAAATTTAAAGTACAATAGAAACATTGTTACAACAATAAGGCTATTTAAGGACACTCTAAAAGAGGAGAGAAAAACACTAATTTCACATATAGCATGAATAAAATTCATAAAATTATTTCTGAACATCTTCATATTTTACCTAAGATCTCTGTCCTAGAAGCAGGTGTGTTTCCCCTTTCTCCAAATCCTCAGTCCGCTGACAGTCACTGCCCTGCCCTGCTTTCTTCCTTTATCTACAAGCAGCTTCTCCAGTCTTCTAGTTGTAGCCCAAATCCATTATTTTCAACAAAAACAATTTAATTTTTTCTTAGATCTTTATATTTATCCACACACAAAAGAGAGCTCTGAAACAAAAGACCTCCAAAAGAATTCAGCACTTCTTTTTAAAAGACAACCGAAAACTATAAATAACAAAATTTTCCTTCCTCTCAAATGTTTAAAGACATACTCTGTCCAAGAAAGTACCCTCAAATTGCATTTCAGATAAAAGCTGGTTCATAGAAAAGGAAAGAGACAAAAAACATAAAGACTACCTGTACTTCTGTTTTTGTAAGCTTTGGCAACAGATGTCTCTATATCTGAATATGGCTTTGCCACATACTAGCTATGTGAGCCTGGGCAAGTAATTTAACGTCTCTGAGTCATACTATTCCCATCTATAACACAGAAATTATAGTATTTTTTTGAAAAGCTGTTGAGATGGCTGAATTTTGAAAACATGTATAAAATAACTTGTACAATACAAATCCATTTGATTTAGTACTTATATTTCATAAATATGTCACAAATGCTTATAATTTCATAGACTTGGTTATTTTTATTTAATTACATTAACATTAACTGTCCATGTAAAATTATAATAGTTTTCAATAGTTGCAGTGATATAAAGTTTCATTTAAACATTATTGATTTACATTAAAATAAGTAATCCAATTTTTATAAATATATTAATTAATAACAATAGAGTTGATGTGCAAACAAGACAAAAATTCTGAAGGTAGTATACGAGTGACAGAGATCTGCAAAATGCTACCCTATATCATGATGTGCTAAGAATAAAAACTGTGCTAGTTATTGAATAGAATGCTACAAAAAAACTAATCCAAGTTTTTGGCCCTCTAATATCTCATAGCTGCTGAGAAGAATTTACTTAACAACTGAGACACAAAGGTTACATACAGGATACCTGTGTAAAACACCATCTTCTATAGCAAATCCACATTGGAAAGTGTTGTGTGTGTGTGTGTGTCTGTGTGTGTGTGAGGGGGATCTTCTACTAAAGTCAGTACCAAATATTAATTAATTCAATAAGCATTTAAGAAAATCTACCAAATTTTCGGCCTTGTTCTGGATGTTGGATATGCAAAACCCATACAATTTTGTCCTTGCCATCAGAGATCTTACAGTCAATAGAAGGCAAGTAACAGACACATAAACATAAAAACTAAAAAATAAAAAGCAGAAAGTGCTGCAATTAAAAGTCAGGGCAGGTCTCAGTGAGAACAAAGGAAGGAGACAGAGGATAAAGAGTTCAGAAAATATGCTAAGATGGCATGGCCACAGAAATAGAACAAAAAATTATCAGCTATGACTCAAGAAAGTGAAACTGCTCACCTGTACTTGACAATTCCATTGATCATTGGGTTAACATCCTTGATTCTGTTGATATAAGCCTGAACAACATCTATACATTTCACCTGTAAAATACAATTTTTAAGGCATTTATTCACTAAACAATTCATCCATTCAACAAGTATTTATTTAGACTCTAAATAAAAAAAAAAACTATGAAAAAATTCCTTTTTTTTTTTAAACTATAGTCCACCCCTCCAACGGTCTGAGGGACAGTGAACTGGCCCCCTGTTTTAAAAGTTTGAGGACCCCTGATTTAGAGCATCCTAGGTGCATTAATCAGTTTTTATTTGAGACACCTTCGGTGAATTATCCAATGTGGTCCCCTGTGAGGCAATAGATTAGGCTGAGGGGGTAAAAAGATGTGTACTTTGAAGCCAGGAAGTCAGGAAAATATCATTTTAAGAAAGTCCTAAACAATGAGTAGGGAAACAAGCATGAATTATCCTCTAAGTAAACAGAAACTAGAGTTCAGAGATATTATGCATATGTACTCAGCTAACAAATATTTTGTTAGTAATACTCTGAAACTTAGCATTGTACATCAACTCTGCAAAATCCCAGAGTTGGGGAGTGGAGACACGAAAGTACAAAAGATAAAATACAAGACATCAAATTAAATTAGAATTTCAGATGAATAGAGAATTAGTATAAGTATGCCCCAATTATTGCATGAGAATGTCATACTAAAACCTGTATGCTGTTCACCTAATACTCAAACTTCACCAGGAATACTGTATTTTCATTTGCTAAATTTGGCAACCCTACATCATGGATCTTAAGTATGTGAGGAGAGATAAGACAAGAAAAATAACCTGAGTGCTATAAGATTATTATTTAATTATTATATACAATTATAATTTGAATGATAATTCTTAAAAATGAGACAATAGCATTAGAAAATGACAAAGCAAAATAGAGCCATCAAACAAAAAGGAGAAAAAGTAAATAAAAACAAATTAAGCTGAGCAATTTTTCATGTGTCTGTTGGCTGTCCATATATCTTCTTTTGAGAAGTGTCTATTCATGACTTTTGCCCACTTTTTAATGAGACTATTTGTTTGTTTCTTTTTTCCTTTTGGCATGTTTGAGTTCCTTGTAGATCCTGGATGTCAGGTCTTTGACAGTTGGCAGAACCTGAACATTTACCATAATACTATAGGAAAAGGATTGGCAGTAGCAGGATTCTGCCAGGGTGGAGGTGGGGACACAACATTAATAAGGATACCTGATCTCAAACAAGGCAAAGTGGGGACCAAAGTGAGGCCCAAACTTTACCTGTACAATGTCCACTTGTATGCCTAATCCTGAATTGTACCCCACATCTTTACAATAAAATATAAAAAAGAAATAACTTCTATTGAAGTATAAATAACAAACCATAAAATTGAATCATTTTGAATATATAGTTTAATATTTTTTAGTAAATGTATACAGGCTTGCAACCATCACCACTATCCAGTTTTAAAACACAACCATCACCACTATCCAGTTTTAAAACACTTCTAAAATTCCCTTTCTCTGTTTGAATCCATTCCCATCTGTAAACCTAAACTCAGCTAATTAATGATTTCTGTAGTTCTATACTTTCTAAAAAGGTCATATAAATAAAATAATACAAAATGTAAAAAAATAAATTTGATCAAGACAGAAAAAGCAAAGAAAGAGAAAGAAAAAGCAAGTATGAGAAATTATAAACATATTAAGTGAAAAAGATTAAAACAATTATATCATAATAAGTTTGAATCCCTTGTCAGAGGGCAATGCCATATGTGGTTAAAAAAAGAAACAAAGTTCAACTATACAGCTTTTAAAAGAAAATCACCTAAAACAAAGAGACAATGAAAGATTGAAAACAAAAGCTTAGGCAAAGATATACTAGGTGAATATGAACAACAAGAAAGCAGAGTGGTGACTTTAATATCAGCTAAAGTAAATTTCAAAGCTAAAACAAAATGTTACAACGCATGAGGATATGGTAACAGCAATATACTGCATTTAAAAAGGAGGCAAATAGATAAAGCATAAACTACTAGGAATAAAAAGAGAAAAGTTGACCAGATATACAGACAATATAGTTATCTCAGAAATGGAAAGATCAATGTGTCAAAAGTAAGGATATGTGTAAGAATTTTAAAATACAGCCAACATGTCAAGCATATTGAGAAAGAGAGCTTTTACTCCATTAAGAATATTCTCTTGATTCATGAATCATTAACAAAAAATAATCATACCACACAAAGAGATTCTTAAATCCTTAAAGAATTTAGATGCAGTCTTGGTCAATTTACTAAATTACTATAATTCAGAAATGCTAGAAACCCCAAAACTGGTGATTTTTAGAAGACAGTTATTTCAAAAACATTCTTTCATGTAACCAATGTGAGTAAAAGATAAACAAAACTGTAAAATATCCAGAAATTCACAAAAGAGGAACATTCCTTATAAAAATGTATTGACTATGGCTAAAGTTGTCCTAATAGGCTACTATTTATAAAAATAAAACAGCAAGACAATATATAAGGTATTCAAATTAAAATAATAGAAAAATAAATATTAAAAGTATAAGGAATTCAAAAGGAAATTTAATGACACAGAAAAAAATAGAAACAATATCAACAAAACCAGTATGAAAAGATGAGTAAAACCAACTTTTAAATACCTATGAAACAAACTATAGCAAGAATGATTGAAAAAGAGGAGAAAATGTGTGTGTAAAACTGAGTTAATGTAAGGAATGAAAGAAAGATATAACAATAGACTCAAGGGGGATTTTAAAGAATTACAAAAAAACATTATATGCACCTTTACTTTTAGACTAGCTCCCACTTGTTCCTTAGAATTGTGTACCTAGTGAGCTTTCAGTAACCATTTGTTAAACATGCACAAGTAGTGATTTCAACCACCATAAATCAATAGTCTAGTATACATACAACTCTAGCTTTAAGGGCCTTTGTTGGCAAGCTGAGGTTTAGAACCTGGTCACTCCACCAATGTTTATCACTCTACAGATCTTAAACTACTCCAATTGCTGCTCTAATTGAAACTATAGCATGTCCAATGTGACAAAACCAAAAAATAAAAAAGTTAAAAAAAGCTGGAAGGTAACACAACGATAATTGCCATTTGTTACATTTGTTAAATAATTGTATGTCAAGAAATTTACATCTATTAAGTCATTATATTCTCCTAGCAACACATATAATATTATTCCTATTTTACACATGAAGTTATTGAGGCTCACTGAGGTTAAGTGACTTAACCAAGGTCACATGACTGAGCCTGGATATTTTGTTTGCTGTTTTTTTTTCAGATGAATGTTGCTGTCATAAGAGAAACAAGAAATATGTACATGGTTCAATTCAACAACAGAATAATTCTGTAGGTGTACTTTCACCTACAGAAAAGTACAAATGAAAAGTGAAAGCTTTTGTCTCTCCTTTGCTTCCTCCCTTTGTTTTCAGTTCTTTATCTCCTTCCATCACACAAAATGAATCATATTATATTCATTGTTCTGTACCTTATTGTTTTACGAATTATTAAAATTCAGAACTATTTACATATCAGTACCTTTAGCTTCATAGTTATTAATTACTGTGCCATGTTCCTATAATGGACTAGTAATATTTTTATTACTTATCTAAAAAGTGAAAAAAGTCTAACTTTCTTAATTTGGTATTAATCATATTTATTATAAATAGGTAACATGAGAACATGTTTCAATAATCACAATGTAAAAAAAATTGTACAGTGAAGAAGTCCCTCTCTCCTCCCCAACATCAACTATTGTTATCAGATTTTGTGCATCCTTCCAGAGATAGATAGATAGACAGATAGAAAGATAATAGAGAAAAAACATTTTTAATACAAATATATCATACTATACAAATTATTCTTCACTTTTGTTTTCATTCAAAATACTCCTTGGATCTCATTCCATATCTTGAACATAAAGAGCCACCTCATTATTTTATTTGCTGCATACTATTAAATGTATAGACATACTATACCATATTTAATGAGGACCCTGACTCGCCTTTGCAAGAATTTATTTTTACAAATAACTATAAATGAGGATACCCTCATACAGATGTCATTAGGTGATTTGTGAGTGTATCTATGCCTTCAAAATCTCATTGACTTGGTTTGGAATCATCAACACAAACAAATTTCCAAATGTGCAAAGAAAATGACCAGGCTATATATGGTGGTAACCATGATAAGTTGATGTCCTTTTGCAAGGCCCAATCTTGGAGACCAACTGAAACTGCGAAAGTTCAGATTAAATAATGGTAGTCTGGATTCTGAATAATAAAAGAGTAATCATATAGGGATCCAAAGACAAGCATAAGGACAATAGATACCCAAGGGGAATTGACTGTTCAGTCGGAGAACAGGTTGTTAAGAAGCATTACTTCTTCTTGAAGTGCCCTGCACCCCCGCCCTCCCCAAAAAAGCTGAAGTCAGATTGAACTGGCTCTGTCATTTTCTAGCTTTGTGGCATTGGACAAGTACTTTTCTGTAAGATGATGATAATTCTACCTATTTCAAGATGGTGTTATGAGGATTCAATTTACAAAAATCTAAGTAAAACATTTTCCTTATCATGTAGCATAAAGTAGATGCTTAATAAAAGTTAGTTATTTCCCATATACAAGGAAGACAGGGACTAAGGGAAAACTAGGACAAACAAGACTTTGTATCCTCACTACTTCTCCCTTTCAGAACATTTTTATGTAGCTAAACTATATCTAGATAATCTCTTCTCATAAGCAAGCTTGAATATATAAAAAATGGCTATCATTATTCAAAACCTGATAATAGTAATAATAACAAAGACATAGATAAGACTATTATGCCAAGCAATGTTTCCTAAATTTTACATATATGAATTCATTTAATTTTCACAATTCTATTAGGCAAATTCTATCATCAAGTCATTTTCTCTTACAGGATATCACAGGCACAAAAAGTCAAGCAATGTTTTTAAGATGAGAGCTTGGTTGTGGGAGAACTAAGATTTCTGAGCCCAGTAGTGTGGCTCCCGAGTTCATTCTTCTAATCACTATGTTACACAATCTACTGTGTGCCAGGTCCTTGACAGGTATTATCTGCAATTACCATGGCACAAGGTCACACAACTATGAAGAGACAGAGCAAAATTTGAAATCTATTATCTTTCCAATACATTCCCCTGTCTCCCTGTTAAAAAAGCATGCAAGGGAGGAGGGAAGAATACAGGAAGGGGACAGGATATGTCATTGAAAGGTAACTAAGAGTGCAGTAGAAGCATTATTCATATTCATTCATGCATTCAAGAATGCAAACTTAGTTTCTCAAGTAGTATTTACTGCATGTCTACTCTTTGCCAAGTAGTATTCTAGATTCTGGGAATAAAATAATGAAGAAAAACAAATGAAACAACAGACAGATGAATACAACAGAGTTATAAATAAAGAATACTAGACTATATTCCAAGATCTCCAGGAAACCAAACATTCTTAAGACAAAGAGATAAATAGTCCTGTCAGCACAACTTTAGAATGAATGATTGAATTGCTTAAATTTTTAAATTAAGAATTTTCAACAATTTTTGTGTATTTGTGCAAATTATTTTACCTGTTTCCTCATAAAATAGGAATATTACCTACATAACTGCGTCAGTAAAACAGAGTATGTTTAAGTACTCATGCACCATATTTCACATTACTAATGCACTAAATATATGGTAGGTCACAGCCACTACTGTCCTAGATCAGGCACTGTTTTCCTTGAAGCAAAACAAAACCTTGCATGATAAGAAGTTGGCCTGTGACTGAGCCGAGAGAGCAGCGAGAGAACTACCCCAGAGGGCAGAGAGAGCAGCGAGAGAGCTACCCCAGAGAGCAGAGAGAGCAGCGGCAAGAACTTCCATGGCGGAGACTCAGTTTCAAAATCACACCCAATTTGTCCCTGCACAAGTATTATGCGCAGATAGTACAAATGAACAGGAAGGATTATGAGGGTGCCTTCCCAACCAATGCCCACAGTAAACGCGTTGAGTATACATAAGCATACTACAACTCCTGGATGTCTCCCTTCATTCCCAATGAAAGTGGCTCTAGTAGAGTGTGAAAAGGAAATTGATTTCCACTAAACTCAATCATATTACCACAACTTCACCACTAAGTTTCCTGGATTCCCCAGTAAAAGACCTGTCCCTCCACTCTCTTCTGAATTGCACTCTTACCTTTCTTTGTCGGATCAGCTTGGCCAGCTGCACCCCGGAAAGCAGGAGCAAAGGTTCTGTCACCGGTCGAGTGGTTCTTGAGTCAAACTTAGGGCCGCCTAAGGCTACAGCCGCTTTGATTACTAGGCCCATAAGAAAGCCTAACGCACGCAGAAGCAATAACTGGATGCGGGCAGTGAACCAAGATGCCATAGCGGCCTGGATTCCCCCACGGTCCTAGTGCTGGAGGGTTACGTGCACCCTGGGCAAACAAGGAAAAAAGACTAAGTAAGGAGGTGCTTAGGAAGCCTTTACTTTACAAGTCCAGAATCTACCCACAATTCTACAGGAGATTGTTTGTCATCACCTGCCGGGCTCCTAGTCAGAAATAGGGCGGAGCTGAAGCCTTCCTAGCAGCTGCCTGTGTGCAATGCAACCTGTTGTTAATGCTAATGTAACCCAACCCAGAAAATGAAGCATAAGAAAGAACACTGGCTTTGGAGTTTCCCAGTTTTGCCATGTGTAGCCTTGACCAATTTACACTATGTCTCATAGTCAATTTGCTCATATGAAAGAATGGGAGTAATTACTCTTACATCAAAGATATATGGTAAACACTGGATAATCAATCAAAATGCTTAGCACAATTCATAGCAAATAGTATAAGTGATAGTTGTTAGAATTTATTTCAGTTGTATCTGTGAAAAAAAGTGTAAGTATACCTTTGTAGGTACGTATTTATTATGCTCACCAAACAACTAAATAACAAGCATACGCATATTACCCATATGCATATTGTTTAATCCTTAGAAAATCACTAGAAGCTAGTATCGATGAATTTCAAATCTCCAGTCCATCGTTCTCTCCTAAACTCCAGACACTTAAAATCCAATGTCTTTTTTACAACTCCATGTGGATGTCTCACATATTCTTCAAACTCAGTATGTTCAAAAATCATTTTCTCTCCAAGCCTGCAGCTCTTCCAGGTTCACAAATGGCATTTTCATCCACAAAGTCAGCCATGCCAAAAATATGGAATTACTTTAGATTCTTTTTTTGCTGTCATTCTCATGAATACTCACCAGGTTCAGACAATGATTTTCCCTTTCAACTCAGCCTAGTTCATATCTCACTGATATTTGCATAAACTTCTACAAATAATCTAGCTGATTTTTCTGACTTTATTTATAGTGTTCTTTCTAATATGCACATATTACATTATTCCTCTGTCAATTTCTAGAGTTATCTACAATAATTCCCCATTTTTCTCAGGTTCAGGTCTCATTTACTTTGGAATTTAAAGGTCTCATGACTGATATCTGAAAAACTCTGTACCCCATCTCTAGCCCTTTCCATTCCTCACATGCTATACTCCTGACAAACTGAGCGATCTGAAAGCTCTCCCTCCCCTCCATATATTTGCATTTACTTTTCCAACCTCTTCATCTGGCTCAGAACAAGAATCACCTACTTCAGGAAGTCTCCTCTGAACTTTCAACTGGGTTTGGTGCCACTCTTTTACAACCCTCCAATCCATAGATTAAAAATATCATAAGCACTTATAACTCTTTATTACATGTAAGATTTTTGTGTCTATACCCCATCTAGGTATTAACTCTTTAAAGAACAAGGTCATTCTAATTCCCCTTTGTATTGCCAGAGCCCAGTATAGAGCTTGGCATGCAGTCAGTACAGGTTTGCAGGCTGAAGGTAAGAGTTTATGAAAGAATAGTGTTGAAGATAGGAACTTGAGCTGGATATTTAAGGCCTTGGGTAGGTGAAATGGAAGTGTCATCCCAGGTATTGTCTTTTCACCTGAAAACTCAGGTGAATGCTGAAGATGTTATCACAGCACTTCTAGCCTAATTCAGAGCACCTGGTAGAATGCAGGTTAATCATGATAGGCACATCTGACAGGTCCAGTAAACACAGTTGATTACAAAATAGGTTGTCATAATCTAGGCTCCATTATAGTTTTGAGCAAAATTTGTAGCTGAGTTAACTTTCTTTGCCAGAAAGTGTTTTTGTCAAAGTCTAACATTTTTTAACTTTATCTAAATTGTAAATGACCAGTATGTGAGTCAGAGGTGCAAAGAATGCCTACTGATTGGACACTGAACAGAAAATCCTAGATCCGGCAGTCATAATGTTTTTGACTTTGTACAAATCACTTAATGTCTATGAGTGTGTTTCTTCATCTGTAAAGTAGCTGCTACATAGTGTTATGAAGATTAAGTCATACATGCACATAAAGCTTCTGACAGCATATCTCTAGTACATCATAGTGGTTTATATTTATTTGTACTGAAAAAAGAAATGGGCACAGTTTGATCATAAGTACACAATCTGATCATAAGGAAAAGAGAAAGGAGAAATTGCCTTTTGTCTTTAAAAGCAAAACTAGAAATATTGTGTTGAGTGTAGTTGTGCAATCTCCCTGCTAAACTCAGGGAGGATTTATGCAATCTACCATCTATTTAATAATCAAGAATGAAGACTCAGGAGTTATCCTTGACTCCTTCCTAACCCTCAGTTAATATTATAGATCTTATGTCCTCAATGTGTCTGCAACCTATTCTCTACTCTCCATTCTCATTGCTGCTTACCTGAATTATGCACTAGTTTCCTAACTGATATTATGCTGTCTTCAATCTGTCCTCTTTCAAAGCCATTCACTATACTTCAATTTTTTGGGTAAAATAATTTATACTGCATATATTTAGCTTGTCTTTCATACCGTCGTGAAACTAAGTATCATACTCTTTACCAATTACAGAGGCAAATAATTGATTCTAATTGTTGTTTATTTGATTTAGAGTAATAGTGAGCATCTTTTTTATATGATTATAGGTCATCTGTGTCTCTTTTATTGTGAATTGTCTATTCATGCCCACCACCCATTTTTCTATTGAGTTTTTCATCTTTTTTAGCTTTTGAAGATTTTTTTTTTTATGGATATATAATAGTTGTACATATTTTTGAGTTTTATCTTTTTTTAAAACTAGTTTTAAGTGTTCTTAATATAGGAAGGGTATTAACGTTGTTTGTATATGCCTTATTATGCTGATAATATTGTCCCCATTCAAGTTGTTTCCCTTTTTATTATAATTAAAAGTTATGTTTAAACATAAGGACATTTTAAATGATTATGTAAACAAGTTTATCAAACTTTCCATTTGTAATTACATTCACTGATATTATCTTTAGTGTCTTTTCTCAATTATCAGTAGATTACCTATATAGTCTCTCTTTCTGTCTCTCTTTTTTTTTTTAACAAAGAGCTTTTCACCGTGCGGTTAGATTCCAGCATGGAGTCAGGGTAATTAAGGACATGGTGATTGCTGATTCTCTTGGATTTATTTCCTGTAATTTCTTCACACATACACATCCTTGCCCCAACTATAAAAAATTACTTTCAGTTTTCAGAAACAATGACCTCCAAATAGCAATTGCTATTTATTTATTTCCAATATTGCACTGTGCTAATACAAATATTAAGATAATATGCTATTAGACTAATATAAACTGTACATTGTAGAACATAAAGAAACAATTTGAGGAATAAAATTTTTTTGAGTTATAGTGTTTGCCTTACTCCAATGTAACACCTATACACTCCCAGAGGTGCTTGTATGTCCTCCACACCTTGACAACACTGTCCTAAACTATGTATGCTGTATAACAATCTTATCACTGTTATCTACTTTTAGTCTACCTCTTGCTGTTTCTCTGAAATATACGCAATTATTTAAACCTCAAGACTCAACTCAGACATCATACCTTTTAGAAATGCTTTTGTGACTACTGGAATGAGAGTCTGATTAAATATGTTTCCTTTGCATTTCTACAGCACACAATATTTTACCCTATTATGGTACTTAGCACACTTCACTATAATTAATTATTCCCTTCCCCGAAAGAATGGAAATTCCTTAAGGAAAGAACCCTGTCTTAGTCTTCTCTATACCACCAGTGCCTAGAACAGTGTACATATTCAAATAGAGTTGATTTCATTAGTGAATGAATGAATAAATAAATATACAAATGGAACCATCATCATTTTGTCTGAGAACTCCTGATAGAGTCTATGCCCTCTTACATAGATGCACAAAACACTCAACCCACTACCACCCACATAGATAAACACAACCATAATGCAAATGAAAATATATACCGATATCAGTAAACATATGCTCACAATAAAGATATGATCCTTTACCTGTGAATGCACTGCACATATTCACAACTGTGAAACACAAAATTATTCTTGCCACATTTTCCCAAATATTAACTAATATAAAAACAAATATACGTCTTAGTAACCACATACCTGTGGTTAAAGTAGGCAAAAAGTTACGTAGTTTAATAAATGTAACAATATGGGTAAACTAATAGGAAATGATAAACTTTGAACACACATTCCTCATCATAAAATTGTTATTTTTCATGTTAGTTTTAATAAACTTCTCATTTAGAGACAATTGTAGATTTAAATGCAGTTATAAGAAATAATACAGAGAGATTCCAGGTGTCTTTTATCTAGTTTTCCTTAATGGTAACATCTTCCAAATTATACTACAATGTCATAATAAAAATACTGGAGTTAATACAGAACATTTTCCTCACCATTAAGGATGTCTTATGTTGTCTTTTTATAGCCACACCCTTGCTCAGTCCCCTTTGTAACCATGACAGCCACAAATCTTTTCTCCATTTCTATAATTTTTTCATTTCAAGAATGTCATATTAAACCAATTATACAGTATTCTGACCAGTAGAGATTTGCTTCTTTCACTCTGCATAATTCACTGTAGATCCATCTAGGTTATTGTATGTATAAATATTTTTTATTGTTGATGTACATGGTTTATTTAACTATTTCATTATTGTTTGCAGACAGCTTTTGGATATTATGAATAAAGCTGCTGTAAACATTCATGTACTACTTATTTTATGAACATCTTTTAATTTTTCTTCTATAAATGGCCAAGAGTGCAATTGCTGGGTCATATAGCAGATGTATTTGTAATTTTCATGAAACTTCCAGTCAGATTTTTAGAGTAGCTGTGTCATTTTATACCACCAGCAATGTATGAGTGACCCAGTTTCTCAGCATGCTCACTATCATTTGTTATCATGACTATGTATCTTTTTCATTATAGCCATTCTGATAGGTGTGAAATGATACCCAATCATAGCTTAAATTTGCATTTCCCTAATGACTATTGACGTTTCAAAAGCTTATATGGCATCTATATTGTCTTTTTTATTAAAAGATTCTTCATTTTTTTTGTCCTTATTCTAATTGGATTTTTGTTTACTGTTGAGGGTTTTTTTATTTTAAAGATATGGGATACAATTC